CGCATTCCGTATCAAACTTGTTTTAATTAAAATGAAAGGGCTCGTTTTTTTACATATACTCTTTGGTATGTATATATATTTAATGTATATGTTCAACGACCTTTATCAACAGTTGAATGTGTTCTCATATTATTAACATATAAGCCGTGAGCCAAGTAATCACCACATTTAGCGGTGTAACATACTTATTTAACCGACTCATAAAAGAAGTGTGTTCTTAATTCAGGTGTATGTCTTTTTTTGTGTACATCGTTCACATCGTCATATCAGCCTTTAAGTGTCCACTGCTGAACATAAGTCTTTTACTTTGGGGATTTTACCCCCCAATGGATGGTATGGGTTTTTTTTTTATTTTTATGTATATATATATATATATATATATATATATATATATATATATATATAAGGGCGAGGGATGAATAACAGCGTTCCTTTTAAAACATTTCCAAAAGCCTAACTGCGGTTGCGAATCCGCCTGCCAAGCGTGGCAAATACTGGCAAAACCCTCCTAAGAAGGAATCATATGTTCATCAGTGGACAGTTAAAGACTGATGTGATGATAATTATCATCATCATCATTACAGACAAAACCCGTCCACTGCTGGACACAAGCCTCCCCCATAAACTGCCATAAAGAACGGTCCTGAGCCACCTGCATCCACTGACTCATTGCAATGCATTTCAGGTCGTCACTCCATCTAGTGGGTCCGTCTGTCTTCTCTATCGCGTGTCGGTTCTTCGAGATGATGACGACGATAGACACTAAATAGGTAAATAAACATTAGGGAATACAAGTCATTTATATCATTTCACGTGACAATGATTGCTGAATCAAGATTAGATATGTTCGTTCATTGTTCTACGCTTGTCCTTATATTTGCACAGTGGAGTCTCGAGTGTCATTGTTGATAGAATAGTATTAAATTGCTCACTGCGAGTATAAAACCTCTCTTGTTTATTTAATTTAGTATTTTTTCTCAGTAAAAAAAAAACAACTAATTTTTGATAAAATTTATACGTAACCAACACTCATTTTCTTTTTTTACAACAGCTTTAAAACGTTAAAAAAAATATTCACGATAGTCTCTCATAGTTGTTTTTTTTTAGTTTTTTTTTTGTGAAGTTGCACACGCGTTACTTAATCGAAAATGATGGTTTTGAAAAAATAAAATTTTACGTTGTTTTTAATTTGAAACTTATTCACCCCCTTTGGAGTTAAAAAATAACTTCAAAGGGGGGTGAGTTGACATTGCATTCGTAAGGGGAGTTAGAATGATGCAAATGAAACTACCGATACAATTAGTCTGTAATATAATTATTAAGAAATCTTAGACGGTAGACATTCTCCGCTGTAAATAAAGTCACGTACAATAGTAAATGTACTTACAAAATATATATTGAAAAATATTACTCCACTACGGTTCAGTTTCTATTCCTTTCTTTTTGTTATTATTAAATATCTTATATGCTGTCTTTACTATGGCGTAATCGGGTTCAGAAGCATTATTTTCTGATATTTCGTTTTTTTGTGCAACTTAGAATGGCAAACAAGCTAACGGCCTACCTGATGGAAAGTGGTAACTGTCGTCTATAAACATGAGCAATACTATGGACATAACAGAGTGTACTGTTTCGCCCATGATACTCCCCATGTATTGCCATTCCTGAGAACTCAGTTGTTATTCCTCTGTACCCTGTAAATTCACTGCCATATCCCACCCTTCAAACCGTAACACAGCCATGCAAACACAACTGCTTTATGGTAGAAACACGAATGGGACAAAGGTGGCCAAGCAAACGACTTCTGTACAGTCTCCCTTTGGTAAATATAATTATATTAAATGTGAAACTGAGTTTGTTTGTTTGTTACCTTATAGCGTCTTAACAGCTTAACCAATCACTTTGAAATTTGGTATACACGTACTATGTGAGATGGATAAGGAAATAAGCAAATTTTATCCCTATCAGAGAACGGAGAGCCTACCATTAAATGTTTTCCGAAATTTCGGAGCCAAACGAAGCACAAATTTGATGTTAAAATTACATAATACATGCCGTTTGGAAATATTAAAAATGTTAAAATATTGTTCCTTTGAACTTTTTTAAAAGGATGTATGACGAACGAAATGTTAAACTCCATTTATTGGTCCGATTTTGGTATAAACAAAAACATGAAATTAAATCCGAAATTTCGGAATTTCATTTCATGGTGGACTAGCAGGTCTCGTTACGCGGACATAGTCGCGGGTAAGAGCTAGTAACTGATAAATATAATGATAATATTCAGTAGGGCGCTGTCAAAAGGCCTCGCGTCGAGGCCGTGCGGTTTTCCTGTGTCGCCTCTCATTGAACAAATGAGTTTTAGCACGTTTTTACTACACATTCTTTAGAACTTTTTATCAATAAATGTGTTCATCTCTTATCTTCGCGCAATTTGGATGGCATACAAGCTTGATGGATATATTTTTTTTAATGCGGGCGAATGGAATGGTGAACCTGTTTGCGCTATCGGAGTACACCGACAGGGCAGCAGTGACAGATGAAAAAAAAAAGAACGAATGAAATATTTTTATTCAAGTAACCTTAGATTTAAGCATTTTTGAGCAATCATTTTTTCATTACCAATGAAAGGAATTCAATGTCAGCTGAGAACAACTGGCAAAAAACTCGACTTTTTGTTTTATACAACTTAGAATGGCAAACAAGCTGACGGCCCACCTGATGGAAAGTAGTAACCGTCGCCTATAGACATGAGCAGTACCATGGACATAACAGAGTATACTGCTTCGCCCATGATACCTCCCATGCGTTGCCATTCCTGAGGACTTAGGTGTTATTCCTCTGTACCCTGTAAATTCACTGTTATATCCCACCCTTCAAACCGAAACATAACAATGCAAACACAACTGCTTCACGGTTGAGACACGAATGGGACAGAAGTACCCAAGCAATCGAGTTTTGTACAATGTCTCCCTCTGGTATTTGTATGCTGCCAAATAAACATGCAACGTGGTACGAGTAAATTGATAAAGGAAAATCAACTTGCGGTGACTCCCCGACGATACACGAACGACACATTAATGTGTTTTGTTTTAAATCTATTATATTTTTCATTTTTTACATTACTTCATAGTGAAATACGTTCTTAATTCAATTTATATTTTTCATGTATTCTAAATTCTAATTTCTAAAACCGGTCTACCGATTTTAATGGAATTTTCAATCGATTTTATAAAGAAAGGGGTTTATAATACCAGAGGGAAACTTTGTACAAAAGTCGATTACTTGTGTACCTCTGTCCCATTCGTGTTTCTACCGTGAAGCAGCGGGTGTACCATGAAATGAAATTCCGAAATTTCGGACTCAATTTCGTGTTTTTGTTTATACCAAAACCGTCTCAATAAATGGAGTTTAACATTTCGTTCGTCATACATCCTATCATAAAAGTCCAAAGGAACAATATTTTAACATTTTAAATATTTCCAAACATGCATGCATTATGTAATTTTAACATCAAATTTCTGCTTCGTTTGGCTCCGAAATTTCGGAAAACATTTCATGGTAGGCTCTCAGTTGTGTTTGCATGGCTGTGTTTCGGTGTTTCGGCATGGGATATGGAGTAAATTTACAGGGTACAGAGCAATAACACCTGAGTCCTCAGGAATGGCAACGCACGGGGGGTATCATGGGCGGAACAGTATACTCTGTTATGTTCATGGTACTGCTCATGTCTATAGGCGACGGTTACCGCTTTCCATCATGTGTGCCGTCAGCTTGTTTGCCATTCTAAGTTGTATAAAAAAAAAATCTGTTTTATTTCTTTTTATGTTTGTTACCTTATAACTCTGTCAGATATAAACCGATTTGGATAATTTTTTTTTTGTCTGAAAGGATGTTTCTAGAGGTAAGTTTCATAAAAAATTTATAACAATCGATTCAGTTTAGTTTTAAAATAAAAATTAATGTAACTGGTTTCGCCATAATAGAAGTCTTTTTTATATAATTTTTTTTTATCATTTCCTTCTTTATACCGTGTGCTGTCTTCCTCGACAGAGAAGTATCGTAAATAAAACACTAGTGTCACAGTAACTTGCACGACCTCTCGCCCGCACGCTACCCAGTCGAGTGTCGGGGGTGCGGGCGGTTGGCAGTGACCGGCTTTATTCAATACGTCACATCTCTCCTTTTCCAAAACAATTTTTTTTTTTAATTTAACACTTAACAGTCATAATTAGTGCAAGTAAAATTTCAACCTTTTTTCAATACAAGTTTTAAAATTAACACAACAATCATAATTAGTGCAAGTAAAATTTCAACATTTTCCAATACAAGTTTTAAAATTAACACAACAATCATAATTAGTGCAAATAAAATTTCAACATTTTCCAATACAAGTTTTAAAATTAACACAACAATCATAATTAGTGCAAGTAAAATTTCAACATTTTCCAATACAAGTTTTAAAATTAACACAATAATCATAATTAGTGCAAGTAAAATTTCAACCTTTTTCCAATACAAGTTTTTTTTTTTTTTTTTTTTTTTTTTTTTTTTTTTTTTTTTACACAACAATCATAATTAGTGCAAGTAAAATTTCAACCTTTTTTTCAATACAAGTTTTTTTTAAAATTAACACAACAATCATAATTAGTGCAAGTAAAATTTCAACATTTTCCAATACAAGTTTTAAAATTAACACAACAATCATAATTAGTGCAAGTAAAATTTCAACATTTTCCAATACAAGTTTTTAAAATTAACACAACAATCATAATTAGTGCAAGTAAAATTTCAACATTTTCCAATACAAGTTTTTAAAATTAACACAACAATCATAGTTAGTGCAAGTAAAAAATTTAACATTTTCCAATACAAGTTTTAAAATTAACACAACAATCATAGTTAGTGCAAGTAAAATTTCAACATTTTCCAATACAAGTTTTTTAAAATTAACACAACAATCATAGTTAGTGCAAGTAAAATTTCAACATTTTCCAATACAAGTTTTAAAATTAACACAACAATCTTAATTAGTGCAAGTAAAGTTTCACTATTAGGTATGGCCTTACAAAATGTCGATATAAAAATATAGGTATAGCCTTAAAATAAACTTAATTATAGTCCTTAAGAATATATAACCTTAAAAGGAGACTTGCTACTGCAATTAATAGTTTAAAATAAAAATAACTATTTGGCTATTTCTATTTGGTTATCCTCTTTTCCTCCCTTTTCATTCTCATTGTAAATTTCCCACTGTCCTTCCACCTTTTTTAAATGTACTATATTACGCCTTAATTCTTGACCAGTCTCATCATTTTTTATACTGATATCTCCTGCTTTAACGCCAATGACAGTGTGTGGAGTGGGATTAAAATTTGGTGTTAATTTATTTTCTTTAATCATATTTTTCATGTACACCTTTTCACCTACAGTAATATCATTATGTTTCGCTTTCCTTTTCCTATCTTCTATAATCTTCCCCATTTCTTTCATAGATTTGTCTTTATCGTATACGTCTAGATTGATATGTCTATTTTCCACATCTATAACTGAAGGAATTTTGTCTCTAAACGATCTGCAAAGAAATAATTCTGACGGCGTTTTACCAGTTGTGCTATGTGGTGTACTATTGTACATCATGAGGTAGCGTAGGAGTTCGTCTCTCCAATCAGACTTCTGCGACTGACTTATCTTTAACCGTTTTAGGATGTCACGGTTTTGTCTTTCTACTTCTCCATTCTGCTGCGGCCAATATGGTATCGAATTATGTAGAGTAATACCAAATTCTAAGCAAAAGGACTTGAACTCCTCGCTGGTAAACTGTCTTCCATTGTCTGATGTTATACTAACTGGAATACCAAGCCTTGAAAATATTTCTTTTAAGATGCCGATTGTTTCTAGGGACGTCACAGATTTCATGATTTTGATTTCCTTATAACGGCTGTAATAATCTACCACTACGAACAAGTAATGCCCACTTGGTAGCGGACCCAGAAAGTCGACAGCTATATCTGTCCAAGGATGTGATGGTAATTCTCGTCTTTTCATTGGCACAGGAAAACTAGGTCCTGAGACTAAGATGCAGCTCTTGCAACTTTTAACCGTATTTTCAGCATCTTTGTCAATCTTTGGCCACCATACCTTAGTACGTAATCTATTTTTCATAGCGACTATACCAGGATGACCCTCATGAGCTGATGCGAGCACTGGTTTACGTAACTCAAATGGAATTACAATTTTGTTGCCTCGCAGTAGAATGTCGTCATGTACCCAAAGTTCATGCTCAAACAGTTTATAATGATTAACTTCCGGGTCCCAGTTTTTCCCAGCGAGACCCATCTTTACTAATTGTATATAATTGTCTTTTTGCGATGCCTTTATTATGTCTTCCATAGATATAGCTAGTGGTCTTGCTAGATGTACGATTTGGTTGACATGATATTCGTCATCAAAAGGATTTAAATTCTGGGTGCGACAAAGTCTAGAAAGGGAATCTGCGATATTATTCTTACCAGAACGATAGACCACTTTGAAATTGTACGCTTGTAATCGTAATACCCAACGCTCAATTCGTGCGCAGGGTTTAGATCGTGGTCCAAATATGATTTCAAGAGGCTTATGGTCTGTAACTAATTCGAATTCTTTTAATCCATATAGGTACATGCAAAAATGCTCAATAGCCCAGACCAAAGCTAAAGCCTCCTTTTCGGTTTGGCAATATCGCTTCTCGACACTAGTTAAACTTTTATGGCCGTAAGCGATTATGCGTGGCCCACGTATATCATACTGAATCAAAACTGCTCCCAATCCTACTGGACTAGCATCTGCAATTACTTGTGTTTTATCATGGGGATCATAAAAACCTAATGTGTGTAAATTAGTTAATATTTGTTTTAAAGTTGCAAATGCATAAATTTGCTTTTCTTTCCAGAACTCAGTAATATCAGCATGTTTAGAAAGCTTATACCTTAAAATCTCGCGTATTGGTTCAGTGATTGTGGCTAAATTTGGAATCCATTTTCCGATATAGTTTACAAGTCCTAAAAAACTTTGAACTTCTTCAACAGATTTTGGCTCTCTAAATGATTCTATAGTTTTAACGTATTTATCTAGAGGCTTAATACCCCCTGGGGTTAGCTCATGCCCTAGAAATTCTATCTTTGATTGTTTAAAAATACATTTCTCTTTATTGAGTAACACATTATTGTGTTCCAAAATGTGTAAGACATGTTTTAGTCTGGCATTGTGTTCTTTTTCGTTGCTTCCAAACACGATGATATCGTCAATAAAATTTATAACGCCTGCACAAGAAAGAAGCATTCTTTCCATGATTTTCTGAAAATGTTCAGGTGCGCACGAAATCCCAAACATTAAACGTTTATAACGAAATAACCCCTTACTCGTTATAAATGTAGTTATGTCCCGACATTTTCCACTGATCTCAACTTGATGAAAAGCGTCCTTGATATCAAGTTTAGAGAAGATGCGAGCTTTTCCTAATTTAGGCAAAAGCTGTGTCATAGTAGGTAAAGGATGGTTCTCTCTCATGATGGCTTTATTTGCACATCTCATGTCAATACAAAGCCGTACGTCTCCATCGCTCTTCAGAATAGGTACGAGAGGAGAGACCCAATTTGCGGCTTTGTATACAGGTTCAATTATATCTTTTTTTACCAATTCGTCAATTTTCTTATTAATTTTATTTTCCAGTGGAATAGGTACCCTTCTATAAGGTTGACAAATAGGGGTTATTGATTTATCTATAGCGATATCTAATTGAACGTCTTTAAATTTTGGAAAAGTATCTGAATTTAATAAATTAATACTTATCCCTAATTTTAATATATTAAGACTCATAGCCGTCTCTTTGCCTAACAAGTTACGAGTACCATTATTTATAACATAAAATTTTGCTGTTCCCTTCTCAGGTCCAACTGTAACTGACGCTTCAAATGATCCTAATACATCAAGTGGATCTTTAGAGCCGTACGCCATAAAAGTTTGGTCTGAACCTTTTTCTTGATTGAATATTTCAACTGCATTTAATTTCAAGTATGCCCAGGTTTTGTCGTCTATTATGTTACTTTTGCTACCTGAATCAATAAGCATGTTTACACTAACACCACCGATTTGACAAGTTATTTCTGCATCATCATCTATATGGAATATATAGTTTATATTTGGTGATACTGTAGTTTCAGGAGATTTGGATGATTGCTTAGATTCTCCATTTAATATTTGTTTATTTGATAGATTAATCGATTTATATTTTTTTATGTTTTGCCGTTTAACTGGCATTTGCACACCTAAGCGCTTATTTCGCCTAGTGCGACATTGGTTCTTAAAATGGCCTATAAATCCACATTTTTGGCAGGAGCTATTTCTAGCAACACATTGTATATCGTCACTATCATGATATGTACTCCCGCATCTAGTACACCGTATACTTTTATCAGTTGGTTTTGTTCTAATTTTGTTTACAAGGTTGGGTTTTCCTTGGTATTCTTTTAACTGCCTTTCGACAGTCTCTATCGAGTTTGCTTCCACAATGATTTTTTCTATTGTAGTCGAATCGCCTTGCAGCAGAATCTTTTTCCTGAGCTCTGACGAACTACATTTTTCTACAATTTGATCGATGAGATCATCTTCCTTACGAGCAAAATTGCATTTCGAGCTTTGATTCCGTAGCCTAATCAGGAATTTATCGAATTTTTCTTCAGATTCTTGTTTCATTAGTCTGAATAGATGCCTTTCATAAACATAACTCTGTTTAGGTGAGAAATACTCATCTAATTTTTCTATAGCTATTTTAAAAACATCACTTGAATCGGTAATATCTACGTGTGCTCCCGGTAAGTTATAATATACATCTTGTAAAGCAAATCCACCCGTATGTAGAAGTATTGCCCTCTTTTTCAACGAGTCTTCAGTTCCCGTAGCTAACAAATAAATATCTAGAGCCCGTTTCCACCGTTCCCATCTAAGGCCTAGTGAACTAGGATCGCCTTCGCAATCAAAATTTTCTATAGATGACAATTGAGACGTCATGTTTGATCTGCAAGAAAGGACAAAAACTTACAGTTTTTTTTTTTTTTTTTTTTGTTGCTATCAATATTATTGTAAGTTTAAAATTAATGAATATTATCCTAATAATACGTCTAACTATCCTATAGTACATTGACATAGATTCATAGATTTATACTTTCTATTCATTATGGAAGCAACCTCTAGTATTAAAACGATTAATTTCATAAACTTGTATCTACCTAGATATTAGTTTATGTGAAATTGTGGTTTGATGAGTCTTGCTCATTCGTATCGTACGGTGTACTTCATCTGTCATAATAATCATTCTGACTTGGCTAAATATGCAGGTACATTTTGTTGTATATATAGTTAGCGTCCGCTAATAATACCCAACTCGTATCGCCATAGTCCTACTATTTTGATTTATTATACCATAATGTAAATATAAACAAAGAGCTTGCGTTACGGTATGCGTGGATATCAACAAACTCTAACCACAACTACAACACTGAAACTTTGTTTAGGCACATTTAGCAAGATTGTTTTTTGCGACTATGGTACTTGAACCCATTAATATCAGTCAAAACGGGACAAAAATCAAGACCCACGCTCGCCCGACTCGAACACATTGATATCGGCCAAAACGGGGCAAAAATCACAATCCACACTGCGCCGCAACAACTGTTTATATATACATATGTATGCATTTTACATTTTTACGCCATATTACGCAGCAATGCTTTTGTCTCCTCTCATAATAAATAATACTATAGAAATTTCTATATAACATTTTATCATAACTATAATAAAATAATGAAATTTCTTAATTATTTTCTTTACTTTAAATTATAGAAATATCTTTCCTTTATTTATTTACTTATTTTTTTTTTTTTTTTTTTTTTTTTAAGTATTTACATTTTGACTGATAAGAACAGGGAATTTTGTAGTCACAAGGGGTAATGAAATATCTTTGTACTCACGTTTTCTCCTCGTCGCCAAAATTGTGCTGTCTTCCTCGACAGAGAAGTATCGTAAATAAAACACTAGTGTCACAGTAACTTGCACGACCTCTCGCCCGCACGCTACCCAGTCGAGTGTCGGGGGTGCGGGCGGTTGGCAGTGACCGGCTTTATTCAATACGTCACATACCGTATACTATGATTATGTCAAATTTTATAACGATATGTCGAGCCGTTCGGATGCTAAATGATAACAAACAAACCCACTTTCTCATTTGTAATATTACTTTGTAAGGATGTGAAAGTCACTCTGATAGTTTGATTGTTGCTTGCTGACATCATAGATACATGTAAGCGCGGGACGACGCCAGAGAGAAGAGAGAGACGTGTCATAGACAAACAAGGTAATAAACAATTGCACATCTGACAATAGACTCGTTTACATAGACAATAGAATTTTTCTGATGGTTGAAAATGGAATGGCAACCTCGTATTACAACTTTGACGAAGACACGAACTTTAGCAGAGAAATGTATTGTACAGCGAACAAGCAAGAGAGAATAAACATTGTTAGGAAATACAAGATCGGAATCATGAAAGAAAACGTTCTAAAATTGAATCCGTATTAAAAAGTATGTAATAAAATGTAAGAATATTATTTTAAATAAATATGGAAAAAATTAACTAAAATGATGCAAACTGGCTGATACAAACTTTTTAAGTTAGGGGGAAAGGGATTGTTAGTAATGGAGACTGAGAATCCCATTGCTAGCAATATACACAATCAGGTCGTCCTCCTTGCGGTTCTCCCTGGAAACTATCATGATTAATTCCTGATGAATTCATCATGATGGGCTAACTGGCCTGTTTTCATTCTCATCTATCACCCTTCAGTGGTGCTCCGCCAGCGTATCCCGTTAGCGCAGGCGGGGTTACCATACCATTTTCACCCATCAAAAAAAAAACTTCTCAAGTTTGCATCAGCCAGTCGCCAACACCTCGCTTGCACTATTGTGATACGCTGGTGAACACTAATGAGAGAGGATAGGAGAGGACGAATTTGGTCAGTTGGTTGTGATGACCGAAGGGAGATTTTGTACAAAAATCGTTTGCTTGGGTACCTCTGTCGCATTCGTGTTTCAATCGTGAAGCAGTTGTGTTTGCATGGCTGTGTTTCGGTTTGAAGGGTGGGATATGGAAGTGAATTTACAGGGTACAGAGGAATAACACCTTAGTTTTCAGGAATAGCAACGCATGGGGGGTATTATGGGCGAAATAGTATACTATGTTATGTCTATGGCAGTGGTCCTCTTAAAACGTCTCCAAAGCCTAACTACGTTTGCCAATCCGAATATCCGAATTTTTTGTAATGTGGTCAATAAAGCATAAATAAATGAAATAAATAAAATAAATATATCGTCACAGTCGTAGAATACTGACGGATCTTTATATGTAATCTTTGTCAGATCCGTCAGTATTCTACGACTATGACGATATGATTATGCAAAACAAAGTCTCGGACAAATCGAGTTTTTAATATTAGCAAACCGTATTCAGGCCTAGACGTAGACGAGTTAGACAGTCGATAGAAAGTTGTTATGCAAATACAGTCTGTGCTCTTCAACAACCACTGATAACTATATCCAGTGTAGCGTAATTAATTTAAACTAATTTTTAGCAAATTAATTAATTCATCTCTATAAATGACACAAGTAATTTTGATTTATTAGATAAACACTTCGTACATTGTGCCTTTCTGTGGAAAAGTACATCTTCTCTACAGAAAGGTATTATACTAAAGTTAATTTGAAAAAATAATCTTTAAAAAAAAAAAACTGAAACGACTTCAAAAAAAAGAAACTAAAATCAAGAAACGAAAAACGAGTTGATATTAGACTTTTAATTTAAAGGACAAAATCTGTTTGAAGTCGGAACAATGAAATTTCTATGGTACTTATTTTTTTTTTAATGGATGATAATTCAAATTCAAATTCAAATTCAAAAATCATTTATTCATGTAGTAATGGAATGGTAACCCCACCCGCGCTATCGGTATACACCGGCGGGGCATCAGTGTAGGATGATAGGTGAGGATGAAGTAGGTCAGTTAGCCCATCGTGACGAATTCAACAAGAATTGTTCACGATGGTTTCCAGGGGGAACCACGTGGAGGTCGACCTAATAAGGAATATTGCTAGCAATGGAGCTGTCAAACTCCATTACTAACAATCCCTTTCCCCCCTATGGTACTTATTATAAAATATATCTATTCAATTAAAAAAAAAAGAATGTATCTAATTGGTTTATAAATGATGGAGTTATAAGATTACAATAATTAGGGGAACCGTGTAGAGGTCGACCTGATTGGGTATTTTAAATAAATATAGAACCTGTCATTTGTTCTATGTTGTAATAGTTTAGTTTACCATCAAACTGTATGGTAGATTGCCACTTTTAAATTAAAAGAAAAGGTGAATTCTTACAGCCTTCAAGTAGGTACATTCGTTTATCAATTTTCCATTACCTTGCTTGGAAAATAAACCTCGTTATCGCGAATTGCCTGATTGCCTTCGCTAGCAATTGGTAAAGTCGCCGCCAAAAACATACCACGAAATGCTCAAAATTTAAAAAATTAACTTGTCAATAGACAATAAGAATTTGGTGATTATAAATAAAGCAAATTAGTTTTGTTATTTTTTTTCAATGGATGATAATGGAATGGTAAACTTACCTGCGATAACGGTATACGCTGGTGGGACACCAGTGAGGGATGATAGGTGAGAATGGAAAGGCAGGTCAGTTAGCCCATCGTGATGAATACACCTGGAATTCAGCACAATGGTTTCCAAGGAGGTCGACCTGACAGAGTATATTGCTAGTAATGGGACTAGTAGTCCGCATTACTAACAATCCCTTCCCCCCCCCGCCCCCCGGTTTAGTCATGTTGTAGGTATTATTATTATTTTATTACTGAAAGACGGGTTTTCCATGATCTTTAGTGTTCACCCTTTTTTAAAGTTCGCTCCTAATTCCTATCAATGATAGAAATTTTAAGATGTTTTTTGTAGCAATGTTTTTTATCTCCTCATGATATAGAGTGTGTCTTCCAAAGGAGATATATCGTTTATGTATAAATGGGTTACAGCTACACATTCAGTGCTGCGGCGTTTCTTCCTCGTTGTGACAAAATCTGTAAACGCAATCTACCAGAGGGAGACTTTGTACAAAAGTCGTTTGCTTCGTCACCTCTGTCCCATTCGTGTTTCTACGTGATCCAATCGTGTTTGCATGGTTGTGTTTCGGTTTGAAGGGTGAGATATGTCAGTGAATTTACAGGGTACAGAGGAATAACATCGGAGTCCTCAAAAATGGCAACGCATGGGGGGTGTCATGGGTGAAACAGTATACTCTGTTATGTCCATGGTACTGCTCATGTTTATAGGGGATGGTTACCACTTTCCATCAGGTTGGCCGTTAGCTTGTTTGCCATTCTAAGTTGCATAAAATAAAGACGCTTTTTGGGCATAAGCTTAGTTGGGTCATATCTTGTAGGTAGGTTTATTATTGTAATTGTATGTACTAACATCTTGTTTTTTATTCATCTAAATTTAAATATTGTTCAAAAACTATATTTATCTAATCTCACATATTGTTCAAACATCATATATAAGTTTGTATTAGTAAAAAAATATAAAAAAATGTGATTTTTTTACAATTTACAATGGAAAACAAGCTGGATAATTCACTCGAAGGAATGTAGTTTCTTTTAATGGATGAGAATGGAATGCTAACCCCGCCTGCGCTAACGGTATACGCTAGCGGAGCACCTGCACCAGTGAGGAATGATATGTGAGAATGAAAAGGCAAGTCAGTTAGCCATTCGTGATGAACCTGGAATTCAGCACGGTGGTTTCCAGGGGGGGACCACGCGGAGTTCGACCTAACAGGATATATTGGCAACAGTGGGGCTACGGGAGGAAAGGGATTGTTAGTAATGGAGACTGAGAATCCCATTGCTAGCAATATACCCAGCCAGGTCGACTTCCTCGCGGTTCCCACTGGAAACTATCATGGTTAATTCCTGATGAATTCATCATGATGGGCTAACTGGCCTGTTTTCATTCTCATCTATCACCCTTCACTGGTGCCCCGCCAGCGTATCCCGTTAGCGCAGGCGGGGTTACCATACCATTTTCACCCATAAAAAAAACAGTAGGGCTACTAATTCTTAGTACATATCTCTCTCTATATCTCTAGCAATACATTCATAGTGTGCTGATAAGAATTGGCCATTTAATTACCTTTGTTTTTTTTTAGTAAACCGAAAAAAAAACAGAGTTAAACATTTCCGTCCATGTTTGGAATCCGCTTGCTCTCTTATCACCTAAGTGGCGCGACCTTCTGCCTGTCACGCCATCTGTCTGCCCTTATAAAATTCCATAAAGATAATGTGAATTTACATTGAAATTTAATATCACAAGATAGGAAATACTTGGAAATAGGAACCGTAATGTATCCACTTTCAACCGATTTCAAAGAAGGCGGAGTTTAAAATATGTTTTTACTAGTTATGTTCTGCAGATTCGCTAGTATGAATAGAAAAAGTATCTTATTTGTTAAGTTAGTTATATTAACTGTCAGTTATTATTTGTTGTTATTATTATTTCAGCCGTTAACTGCCCACTGCTGGATATAGGCCCATAAGGGGAGTTAAGCCAGTAGTTACTACACTTGACAGACGGATTAAATCGCAGTTAGTTGAACCGCAGAGATGTTTTAAGAGGGACGCTGCTTCCCATCCTTCGCGCTCCTGTAGTCGCCTCTTATAACACTTACGGGAAAGGGGGAAAGGGATTGTTAGTAATGGAGACTGAAAATTCCATTGCTAGCAATATACCCAACCAGGTCGACCTCCTCGCGGTTCCCCCTGGAAACTATCATGGTTAATTCCTGATGAATTCATCACGATGGGCTAACTGGCCTGTTTTCATTCTCATCTATCACCCTTCACTGGTGCTCCGCCAGCGTATCCCGTTAGCGCAGGCGGGGTTACCATTTCGATATCGATATAACCAGAATTGTTAATACCATACTGTATTAACAATTCTTGTTGTACATTACCAATCTATGTCGATGAATGAAACTACCTTTTTTATACAGTACAAAATCCTGT